GTCTCCTCCATTTTCTTTTATTACCTCCATAGTTTTATTCTCTACGTTTAGGTCTTTATTTCTCTTGGAGTCTACTTTTGTACAAAGTGTGACGTAAGGATCCATTTTTTTTACTCCATACAGTGAGCCAGTTTTCCCAAAGCCACAATGAACAATCCATCCTTTTCCCCGTGGAATGCAGTGCCACCTCTATTGTTTTATGTCCCTCTATGTGCCTGGGTCCGCCTGTGAGTCAGTTCTGCTCCTTTGGTGTATTGGTGTATACGTGTATTGAACCAAACCACACTGTCTTTGAAGCCTGTCTTAACATTTCATAGAGCAAACCCTCCCCCCTTTCCTTTTTAATGTTGACTTACCTATTTGTACAACTTTATTCCTCCATACAAATTTTAGAATAGGCTTGCCAAGTGTCTCAAAAAATCCATCTAGAATTTCGATTGAGATTGCTTTGAATATACCAGCTAATTTGGAGAGAACTGACATGTGGATAACATTAAGACATCCTATCCAAGGGCACGGATGGTCTCATTTTTTCAGATTATCTTCTATAGCCTTTATTGGCATGTTAATGTTTTTTCCATCAAGGCCTATGCATCTTTGATTAAGTTGTTAGAAAAACTATAGTTTTTGTTGCTTTGAGAACCGCACAATTTTTAAAAATTATGTTTTAATGGTTATTTACAGCGTTAGTGAAATGATATTGATTTTTACAGGTAGATTTTTGTGTGTGTGTGTGAGGAGATAAGCCCTGTGCTAACATCTGCCAATCCTCCTCTTTTTTTTTTTTGCTGAGGAAGACTGGCCTTGGCCTAACATCCGTGCCCATCTTCCTCCACTTTGTACGGGATGCTGCCACAGCATGGCTTGCCAAGCAGTGCGTCGGTGCACGCCCGGGATCGGAACCGGCGAACCCCGGGCCGCCACAGCAGAACGTGCGCACTTAACCGCTTGCACCACCGGGCCGGACCCTGCAGGTAGATCTTATATCAACCATGATAATCCCTTCGCTAAGAGCCTTTTTGCCCTCGTTATTATGAGGGCGAGAAGTATTTCTAAAACATTTTAGCCAATTGTGAATGTCCGTCATATCATGGATGCCAGCCCGTCTCTAATATTTATCATCCTAATTAGCAAAGCTGCTGGTGTTGATCAGAGATAAAGATGGGTGAGGGCCGGCCCGTGGCGTAGCGGTTAAGTGCGCGTGCTCCGCTGCTGGCGGCCTGGGTTCGGATCCCAGGCGCCCACCGACACACCACTCCTCAAGCCATGCTGTGGCAGCGTCCCACATAAAGTGGAGGAAGATGGGCACGGATGTCAGCCCAGGGCCAGTCTTCCCCAGCAAAAAAAGAGGATTGGCATGGATGTTAGCTCACGGCTGATCTTCCTCGCGTGTGTGCACACACACACACACTAAATAATAAATAAATAAATAAATATTTAAGATGGGTGAGTGCTTTGTAGTAGTTACCTCTAGAGTCTGCTCTTTTCATTAAAAGCCAGCTGATCACCCCTGGAGTCACTGACCGCTGGGGTGCAGTTTAAAACCAACCCGCATAGCCACGAGGGGGCGCTGAGGCCTCACTTCTACAAGAGGAGGGTTATTGTGGTGGAGAGAGAATGTGGTCATCAGGGGGCACTGTTACTGGGCAAGCACCTACTGTGTGCCAGGCGCTGTTCTAGACGTTACGATTACAGCCAGGCTCAAGGCAGGCGAGGAGCTGATATTCTGAAGGTGGGGGAGTGTGGACAATCAACTAACAGACAATTTCAGAGTAATAAATGCTATGGAGAAAATAAATCAGAGTGACTGAGGGTGCCTCCTCCATAAGGGGCCCAGGGACGTCTGTCTGAGACCACGTCTAAACAAGGATGAGGGCCGGCCAGGTGGCACAAGCGGTTAAGTGCGCACACTCAGCTTCCTCGGCCCGGGGTTCGCAGGTTCGGATCCTGGGCGCGCACAGATGCACCGCTCGTCAGGCCATGCTGTGGTGGCGTCCCATATAAAGTGGAGGAAGATGGGCACGGATGTTAGCCCAGGGCTCGTCTTCTTTAGCAAAAACAGGAGGATTGGCAACAGATGTTAGTTCAGGGCTGATCTTCCTCACAAAAAAATAAATAAACGAGAACGAGGGGCAGAGGAAACGTGTCTGTGGGTCCTGGAGGGGAGGAGCCTGGGGGGAGGGGGGAGGGGAGAGTGCAGGAGGAGGACAGAGAGGAGACAGATGAAGGCAGCGGTGACAGGTGACGGGGCGGAGCACGCAGGGGAGGATTTTGCTCCTGTTCTGCGACCAAGGGGAGCCAGTGGAGGGTCATGATGTGAAAGAGCCACGGGTAGGGTGTTAAACGAAACCAGCAAGGCTAGAGCAGCAAGCAGGATGCCCGCATCGCCTCTGAGAAGAGAGGGAAACAGAATACAGACTTGGCCTTGCTTGTATTTGCATAAAGAAATCCCGGAACAATACCAAGAAATTGATAAAAACGGTGACCTTTGGGGGAAACAGGGAGAGGGAATGGAGAAGATGGAGACTAAGGTGAGAGTGGGAAAAAGTGTCCCCTGGCTGCAGAGTGGGAAACAGACCTCTGACCCTGGGAGGCAGGGAGCCCAGTGAGGGGGCGAGGGTGGCCGGTCAGGTACACTGTGTCCTTGGGGGCTTTTCCATGTCAGGGGGCCTGTGATTCCCAAGGGACATCTTGGTGGCCAGGGATGGGGGCTGTAGGAGCTAATGGTCCAGCCTCCCCCACAATGATAAGGTTGATAACTGCTTATTATATGCCTGGTGCTAGTCTATGATCCGTGCGTTTAAATCTCACAACAACCCCAGGAGGCAGGTACTATTATAATCATCTTCATTTTACAGATGTGGAAATGGAGGCACAAAGATTAAGTGACTTGCTCAAGATCACAGAGCTGGGAAGTAGGACAGATGATATCTGAATCCAGGCAGTAAGAGAGTCCAGACTCTTACCTACCACGATATGCTGCTCCCAATCCTTTTGTTGTGGCCTTGCTCTGGGTCAAGTTGTATTGCCCTTTAGATAGGCTATCTCAGAGGGTTGTGAGCAGTCACTAACACTTTATTATGAGTTAGTCAACCTCTTCCTGCCACTGAAGAACAGCAATCATTGCTATGGTTATAGAGGAGCTGTAGTTAAGTAGTTAAGTAGGCATTAAGTAGTTGGGCTCTGGGGTCATAATGTCTGGGATTGAAGCCAGCACCACTTCCCAGCTGTGACTTTGGGCAAGTGACATCACTAACCTGGGCCTCAGTTTCCTCATCTGTGAAGTCCCCATTTTCCAGATGAGGAAACTGAGAGGTCCAACAGGTGGCACACCCAGGACTTTAGAACTTGGGTTTGGAGCACAAACCACCCCCAGAAAAATGAGGAATCAAAAACAGGTTCTGTGAGAGGGAAGTTCCGAGTCCCCTAGGCCCAAGTGGCGTGTCTGGAGATGGGCCCATGTGCTCAGATGCCACAAAGAGGAATACCTCACTCTCCACACAGTCACCCTCTACATTTGTGTGGAGGGAGGGGTACTGGAAGCCTGAGGTCTGTCTGTGCAGGGTCAGTAAGGCCATCGGAAGGGCTAGACAGGTGAGGCCCTCCCACATGCTCTTCTCCAGGGGCATCTTCTCTGCCTGCCAGATGGGAGCTCAGACCCCTGGGGTGGGTGCCTGATCCTGGCAGGGCTGCAGGGTGGCATGGGGTGGGGAGACGTGCTTTGTCCTGGGGGGAAGCTCTGGCCCTGCCCAGCCCTTAGTGCAGCCACAGGCCCACCCATCTCCTGACTGTACAAAGCTGGGATCACTGGTACAACTAGACCTGCTGTTAAAATACTCAAATACTTCCACAGTTTTTGGCAAATAACACCACCCACTTCTGATGCCCTAGCCCCTTCCCTGGGACCCTTCAAGCCTCCCCATGCCCCAGCCCAGGGGCTTCCCTGATCCAGCTCTGAGGGACTGGCCCATCCTGACTGGCAGACGGCCCTGCCAATATTTGGTATCTTCTCTGGCTCAGCCTCAATATCAATCCCCCCGCCCACAAGTTCAGAGCCCTCAGATATGGGTGCCCATTTCACACAACCTCCTATGCATCCTTCAAAGCCCTGCCTCAATGTCACTTTCTTCAGGAAGCCCTCCTAAATTTCTTCACCACCCCAAAAGTGAATGGCTCCTCCTACTCCCTGGGCTCCCAAGTATCTTGGACCATTCAGCACACTCTGCTTTATTTTTTTTTATTTTTTATTTTTTTTGTGAGGAAGATCAGCCCTGTGCTAACATCTGCCAATCCTCCTCTTTTTTTTTGCTGAGGAAGACAGGCCCTGGGCTAACATCCATGCCCATCTCATCTTCCTCCACTTTATATGCGATGCCGCCACAGCATGGCTTGACAAGCGGTGCGTCGGTGCACCCGGGATCAGAACCGGCGAACACTGGGCCGCTGCAGCAGAGCGCGTGCACTTAACTGCTTGCGCCACTGGGCTGGCCCCAAGCACAGCACACTCTGCTTTAATCCTTTGCACACAGGCCCTTCTCCCCCACCAGTGTGTGAGCACCTTAATGCCAAGGACCATCTTCTGCTTGTCTTGGTGGCCTCAGTACCGATGGCCATGCCAGCACACAGCAAGCGCCCAATAAAACTCATGGAGTGGATGAAGGGTTTGTTTACAGTGTGTTGTGGTGATACCAGGCACATTCAGTCCTGTGCATCTCCCCTGGCCTAGGGGCCACGGGCTGTCATTCCTACAGGGGCCCTGAGTGCCACCCGCACGCTGGGGCCCTGCTGGCTGGGACTGGGACAAGGCTGGGGGAGGTGAGGACAGGATATGAGTCCCGGGGGTGGGAGGTCAGCAGGGCCTGTTCTCATGCTCTCTGGCCGAGGAAGAGCGACTCTCCATCTGGCCCGGCCAGCTGCGGGTGCTGGGACACGAGGAGACGCAGCAGGAGAGAGGGAGGTTGGGGGGGCTCGGGGAGGCCACAGTAACCAGGGAAAGGAAACACAGGCACGCGGTGTTATTGTTACAGAACCATTAAATACAACTTATAAACAAGCCAGGACCGCGTTGGGGGGTGGGACGCAGAGGGGGCCCCGGAGGCAAGAGGGGGTCAGGGTGGCGCGGTCCGGGCCCGGTCCTGGAGGGGGCTCAGGCTGCCGTCACTCGAGGGGCTGGGCTGGCGGAGGCCTGGCTGCTTGTGGAGGCCCTGCAGCTTCACCAGCAGCTCCTGGACAAAGTCCTGAGGACAGGGCAGGGGTGCTGAGGACACGGGGAGGGTGGGGGCCCCCTGCCCAGCCCAGCCCAGCCCAGCCCCTCTGACCTGGGCCCTCCTTCTCCTGCATCCTGGTCAGTGAGGGGCGTGGAGGTGGAGGGAGGAAGGGGTAGCAACTATGGAGACCGAGGGAAAGAACGTGACGGGGGAGAAAGAGAGAGAGAGATGGGGAAAGAGAGCAAAACGAAGAAAGAGCCACAGAGAAAGAGAGAGATGGGGACAGACAAAGACAGGGAGAGACAGAGACTGAGAGAGACAGGGAGACAGGGAGAGAGAGAGGAAGGGAGACAGAGGCCCAGACACAGTGAGCAAGACAGACCAGAGACAGCGAGAGACAGGGAGAGACACAGAGAGAGAGACAGAGGGAGAGACAAAGGGACAGAGAAAGAGACGGAGCCACAGAGACCTCGAGATGTTTCTCAGGCCGCCGAGATCACCAGGAGGGTCCCCGGGGACAGAGGCCCAAGCCGGCTCCAGAGCAGACAGACACACAGTGACGTTTGTCCCTCAGGCAGCCCAGAGCTGGTTAGAGAAACATGAATATTTTTCCCTTTTAAAGCAGGGAAGGAAGTGGGAGGGGTTGGGTCTTGAGCCTCAGAGCCAGGAAGGATGGGGGGCCCCCTGAGAGGTGGGAAGGGAGCCCTGGGGTGGCGGAGGCAGTAACAGGGGAGAGAGACGAGGGAGGCTGAGCCGGCAGACAGCAGAGCAGAGGCAGAAAGAGGAGACAGATGGGGGGCGGCCCAGCAGGGAGGAGATAACGGAGCCCCAGTGGCAGATGGGGAGAGGGAAGGAGATAGGGGTGAGGACGACAGAAGACACCACTGGGATGAGGAGAGGGCCCTGAGAGAGAAGGGGGCTCCCCCAGGCCCCTCTGCGTCCTGGGCATGGCCAGCTCTTCCCTCCTCCCAGAGACCCCCCCATCAGGGCACAGGAGGCCAGAACAGGGCCCGTGATGGGGAAAACTCACCTCCGTGGGGTTCATGCATGACTTCAGGAGGCCCTAAACACCCCCGCCCCAGAAAAAAAGAGAGGAAATAGTAAATGACTAACACCCCCGCCCCTCCGGCCTTCCCTTTCCCAACAAAGCCCCAAGGCAACAAGACAAATGGAAGTCAGGCTCCAGGGTGGACTTCCCACCTGGCTTCAGGGGAAGAACACAGCCTGAGGTCTTATAGGGCAATTGGGTGCAGGGTTGATCCAGAGAGGGCAAGAAGGTCACACAGCATTTCCTGCCTCCCGGAGAGCACAGCCCCTAGGAGAAGGACACCGAACCCAGACTGCCTGGCTTTGCCTCCTAGCTCCGTTCCTTCTGAGCTGTGTGACCCTGGGCAAGTGATTAAACCTCTCTGGGCCTCATTTTCCTCATCTGGAAAATGGAGACAATAATAGCAATAATAATGAAATAGAGATAATAAACCCTTCGTAGGATTTTGTGAGGATTAAATGAGTCGATACGTGTAAAGCAATTGAAACAGCACCTGGCACACAGTTATTGCTCAATAAACACGTCAACTCTTGGGATGGTTTTTAGGGAGGTGTAAGGTGGAGCTTGGCTTTCCCTTCCACCTACCTGGAGTTTCCGGCTTCTCTCCTCTTCACTCTCTAATTCCAACAATTCGTCAATGTTGACCTCATCGGGCATGTCGGCCTCCTAAGGCGAGGAGGGAGAGATGGTCAGGGTCCCCTCCTCCCCATCTTTTGCCTTTGTCCAGAGCTCTGGAGGCGCCCCACTGGCCCCAGGGACCAGCTGGCGGCTTCCGGAGCAATAACGTGGCAGTCACAGACAGCACCGCCGAGGCGGGACATCTGGGTGTTGGGGGGAGGGGTGACAGATGGGTTGACAGAGGTCCCAGGGCCTGTACCAGCTCAGATGCCCTGGTTCCTGGGCCCCGGGAGCCTCGGGGCTGGCACGGGTCTCTCTCCTTGGCCCCAGTTCCGACAGCGGGAAACAGGCCTGGTGCAGTCTTGGAATGTCGGATTCTGGATTCAGGAGAGGGGCTGGCTCTGCCCTTTCAAGGAGAAGTCTAAGTGCTAGGTGCAGGGAGGGCAGCGGGCAGGCCTGAGCCTGCTGGGGGCGGCCCTTGCCCCAGGGGACAGGAAGGGAGGGTAGGGCTCGGGGCCAGCCCTGGGGGACCAAAGCGCAACCCGGTGAGGCCGCGGAGATGACCACCGAAGCCCCCAAGGTGGTGGGTGGGTGGGATGAACCACGAGCCCCACCTTGAGCAGCCAAGAGGGGGGACTGGAGAATGGCCTCCTGGGGCAGAGGGCCAGACGCAGGCTGGCTCAGTACCCCTGCAGGGGACAGAACCCAGCTGTCTGAGCAAGAGATCCCTAAGGCTACAGATTTTTCCCTCCCCAGTCCTGCTGATCACTGCAGGCTTCAGGGCTGGGCAGTTGGGGGTTAGCGTGTGGAGCAGAGGGCTCAGCAAAGGCGTGGAGTGAGGGTCTGTAAGTGTGTTACACACCTGTGTGAGACTCTGTGCACCGAGACTCACATCCCGAGCCCGATGGCAAGGGGCCAGGGTGGGCATGAGGGTGCAGAGGTATGTCGCATCGTGTGAGTGGCTCACACGAGGGCCTACGGTCCCGTGGGTGTGAGGTGCGTGGCTCTGGCTTAGCTGCATTTGTCCCTTCATCATGTGTCTGGGGCAGCTGTAGAGCCCACCGTCGGAGGATGACCTCATAGGATGCCACCTATGAACTTGTCTGTCCCCCTGTATGAGCCCACACGTCCGTCTGAGAACAGAGGGGCCTCTGGTCACCGGGAGGGACCACGACCTCTTCCACCTTCACTCCGTGCTGAGGATCTGTGCATCCTGTGTGTCTGCGGACGTCTGTGACCCTCAGTATCTGTGGTTGTGCTCCGTAGCACGTGCGTGTTGTACAAAGTGTGACTTCAAGCTGAGACTCAAGTGAAATGTCTGTCTGTCTGTAGCCTGCGTGTCAACAGGGGGACTGTAGCTTACATCCTGTGTGCCTGCAGGCAGCTGTAGTTTCTGCCCTTGTGTGTCCGCATTGTGTGTCTGCACGTACCCACGGCTTCCGCGGTGTTCTGTCTGGGGGTTGCTGTCATTTCTGTTAGTTTATGTCTGAGCGGCTGCAGCCTGTTATTGTGTTCGCATGTGGTTGTGTTTTTGCCTTTAGGAGATAATGGATGGTTGTTACTGGAGTCATGTGGAGTCCGAGGGTAGCTGTTGTAGCTTGCAGCGTCTGTGAGGCGCTACAGCCTATGCCAGTGTGTGTCTGTGAAGAGCTGTAGTTGGAGTCCTTTTGTGTGGGTATAGTGGTTGTGTTGTGTGTCTGCACGTGGCTGTGGCCTGTGCTGTTGTGTCTGTGGGTGCCTGTGGCTGCAGCATCTGTGGATCTGTAAGGGACCACAGCTTGCGTCCTTGGGAGTCTGTGTATGGCCGTTGCTTCTGTCGCTGTGTCTGTCAGTGGCCCTGGCTTGTGGCTGCGCCCGTCTGAATGCTGCCGCTTCCTTTGCTGTGCGTCTCTGTGTGGCTGTATCTCCCCTGTCACCATGTCTATGTTTGGCTTTAAAACATCCTCCTCCCCCCACCCTTTCTCTAGATATAGCCGGGAGAGCTCCCCCACTTTGCCTCCACGCCCCTCATCTGCTAACCCCCTGGCCCTCCCCTGGTGTTTGGACACATCTCTGGAGGCTCAGGTATGTGAGTCTCTGTGTCCACAAGCAGAGTGCCATCGAGGGTAGACGGTGGGGCCAATGAGTGCCTGGCACCGGCCTTGCGTCCTCTTGTGTGCACCAAGAGCACGAGCACCCAGAGACCCCCAAGGGCGTAGGGACCCCGGGCCGGGGTCTGTGGGTCCGGGCCGCCCCCCACGCCCCATCCCCCTCCTCGCCTCACCCTGCCGCGGTACAGCTCCTCCAAGCGTCCGTCGATCCACTTCTCCACGTCCAGCCGCCGCTGCAGCTCCCGCCGGTCGTACTTGACGGTGACACGCGCGTGTCGCTTCTGCAGCCCCCTGGGGCTGCCCCCCGGCCCGCGGGCCCGCGACGGAGCCTGCAGCTTGCTCAGCACGCGCTTGCCCAGGCGCTGCGCTGCCATCGCGGTCCCGTCCTGGCCGCAGCCCCGGCGCCGCGCTGTGCG